GTTGGGGATACGCGTCATTGTACACGCCTCTTTTTCACTGCAAAGTTTGTGCTGAAAAGGTGGCATCCAAGAGACTACACTGAAAGCATGAAAATCTGAGCCAAAACTGCAGTTAGTCCACCAACAAGTGTTGCTCAATGGCCTAGCACTTCTGCTGCTGTGAGCAGTGTTGCACCAAAACAGCAATCAATAGTGTCCTTTTTTGCCGATGTAACCCCATATGAGAAGAGATAGAAAAGGAGCAGAGATATAACAGATGCAGAGTCATACAAACTGCCAAACACATGATGCCCATGAGCACCGTGGAGAAAGACAGTTTCAAGCAATGTAAGTGCTAGACCGCAGGTACGAGCTCCCAGGCAGGAAATACTTTTCTCAAACTGCTCTGCCCCAGCTTTACGAAGAGTGCCGTGGAAAGCTGGGAAATCATTTGGTTTCTTAAGGTGTCAGACATTATCAGGATCCTTTTCAAACTCGCAGCATTATCAAATTAATTATTGTGATAAGTATCGATATCGATCAATACGGGGAAAATTATCGTAATATTTTTTGCCATATTGCCCAGCCCTGCTTGTCAGAATTAGTAAATTAACTTTAAACATCTTACACAACTGTAAACAAAAGATTCATTTTTGACCCAACTAAATATTTAAAATGATGAATTCACAATCATATATCTATATATTTAAGAAAAGCGATACTTTTCCTCTGCACCTTTCTCTTTAATTTATTAATATGCACATCGTTCAGCACATGATGGAAGTTGATAAATGTCAAGATTGCTAGACTGGAACTGTCAACAAGAAAGGGTTATCCAAATGTCTGTTAGCATTGCTCCTGTTGTCTGATTACAGCCTTTTTTCTTTGTAAAGCTTAAGCATCTTATTGGCCCAACGGCTCATTTACCCATCACTGATTAATTAAGGCAATTGATTGGCTGGAATAATCGCCTCGCTGGATAACCATGCCCTAATTAGCAGTTAATTGAAAAGTATCAATGACTAAAGCAGCGTCTAGGCAGATGTAGACCGGAACATTATGAAAATCGAGCACAGATTTCCAAACTGTTTTTCTTTCATTTCTCTTACTTCCTTTTTTCCCCCCTCCCTGTTCTCTGTTCCAGCTGGTGGAGTGCCAGTGAAGGCAAAGAATGATAAATTATGACCCCCACGGGGCACGGAAACCACCAATACAAGCCAAACTTATAGTATGATCTCAGAAAAGCAAATGCTCAGTTGATCCCGTTCTCTTGCCATTCATTTAACAATACTTAACGTGGTGTAGCCTACACTGTGAGTTCACCTCATAACCATAGACGTCCATTTAAAAAAAGTGTCAAAATTTATCCTGCAAATATACAAGTCTTAAAGTGAGTTCAGGTGGATTTTTCCTCATCTTCATTCCTGAATATCTCCTCACTCCCACCTTGCAAATCCTCATACCTGCAACTCAGCAGACAATATACAATTAGACATAACTCTATACATCAGTATTATGCACTGTGTTCTTAAGATTTACTAATTACAACATTGCAGGGCCACTTCATATTTCAATTAGGAATTACACTACATGAATCTGCCCTCCTCTTTTCTTTCATTCTACCCTCAGGACAAAACAAAAACAAGTGTATCTGCACACACTCATTTCCATAAAAATCCCACACACCCACTGCTCTCTTCCCACAAGCACATTACTCAGTTTGAAATCATTCAGATGTGTTGTGTTACAGATGCACCAACCTGCCACCAGATATTACTCATATTGTTCTGAATGGCAACAAAAGGAGAAACACTAAATGTCTGAAACTTAAGATACAGAGAAATCCCTCAACATGACATCAGTACTTTACACAGCACGTGTGCAAACCTGGCAACTCTGTGATGCTTTATAACAAGGGGGTGGCAAAGAGTGGATGATTGAAGATATCATATAAGAATCCTAAGACCAGGACGGACACTGCTAAATCAACAGAAACCGCCAGAAGCAGCCCAGTGGGACTCCCATACGTGGCTGCAGCTGTCAGAACGTCTAACCACAGTTTTCAGCTCACAAAGAGTCAGCACTTACGACAAATCCTTCAACACTTTAAGATCTCTGCTGGTTCAACCTACAGACAGGACCCCCCCAGAGAGAACAATTGGACTCGTATATGACATCACATGTGACAGCTGCAACTGCGAGGAATGCTACATGGATGAAACAACAAGGGTGGCAAGAGACTGAATGAACAGTGGAAACAGACATCACTGGACTAAAACTGGTCAGAGCATCAACTGGGAAAGCCTCTATGTGACCAGCTGTGTCCAGAGTTCCATACTGAGGTCACGTTATGACAATCTAAAAAAAACTCCTTCCACTGTTGAAAACCATGAAATGCAGTTGAAAGATCAGGGGGAAAAGCAAGTAAGTGGAGCTTGAGTTAAAGGAATAGTAATCCATATAACCTTTTGAGAAATACAGTTGTTTGGCTTACTTGCCAAGAGTTAGATGAGAAGGTCAGTGCCACTCACATGTGTCTATTAAAAACTGACCATCACATCCTGTCAGTGTTTCAGAAAAGCTGCTCTCCTTAACACAGTGGTCAGAAATGAGTCCTAAAGCCTAGAAATGAGTTAGAATTTGGCACCTCTGGTTCCCTCGTCTACAACTTAATGTGTTTTTTGAATAGAATTTTAGATTAAATGTCTAAAATTAGGTCTGTGGTTGACTCACGTTTAAGACACTTTCATGTTTTGTTCTACAGCAAAAATATGTCAATAAATACCCCACTCGTGAATTTTGGAGCTATTGTGTCTTGAAAAAGGCGGTCGCTAACAAGTGGCTAAATGAGACAACATCAACCCACCGAACAGTTTTACAGCCTCACTGTGGTGTCACGCAATCGTAGAGTAGTTAATTTATGGCTTTTTGTTAGAATTTTACCTCTGCCAATTGGATTTAGGCTAAAAAAAAAGTGGTGTTCGTATCTGTGGAAAAACCCAGTGGAAAAATCCCATTGGGTTTTGTTAAGGAAACCAGGGCGGTGTTAACTTTCATGCTAGCCTCCAAAAACATCTCTGCACCACTTTACTTTATGGCATTCCTCTCCAACATCATATCAATAAATTCAGATTATCAGCTTTACTGTTTTGAATCGGGACTTTCAGTATTTGAATAGTAAGTAGCTTGTGAAAAATAAGGTGTGTCAAATGAAGCAGGCAACACTGTTATTCTAATGTGTTACATACATAATTAAACAGCATTTACATCTGATCGGACTCGGTATCAAGAGATATCCATTATGGGCTCAGATCGGGTCAAAAAAAGGTTTGATCAGAACATCCCTACTGGGAGCATTCAAGAAATAGTTTCCAGCTGCCCCAAACACCAGCCAACAAATGGCGATCGTGGTCTAATTGACCTGGATGATGAAACACTGGACTGGCTTGCCTCAACGGAGCTGAAGGTCTAAGGATATATGCCAGAAGAAGAAGAAGAAATAGTTCCCTTATAACCGCAACATGTAGTTTTTCCACTTATGTGATTGTACAAATTGAACAAAGAAGATATAATATGTTTAATTAGTGAACATTAGAAGAGGAAGATTTTTTTTTCACATTTGGACAGAGTCAGGCATTTAGCCTTTGCCTCCAGCCTTAATGCTTTCCTGAACTAACTGTGTCCTGGCTCAAAATCTCAGCAAGAAAGCAAATGTATTTTCCAAAATGTTGTAAACTATTCCTTTAAGTTTTTTCTTTCTGTTATTGTCTAAAAGATCTAGAGTTTCTGAGATGTGCTTTCGCTGTATGATACCACTCCTCTCAAGTTTCAACTAATCACTTTACGTGGGTGCGAACATGCCTGATACCTGACGAGGTAATTTTATGTGTGCAAATCAGCGTCTCAATTAAAGTGAACAGGACTCTCATCTGTGTTGTAACCAGGCTTTGAGATTTGATGTGTATTCTTAGATGCAAATTTTGCACAGTGCAGCTCAGTGTGTGGGATGCACACTGAGTCATGGCTGCTTGAGGTTGACCGGGCTGCTGGGAAAGCATCTTATGATAGAGCACATTTACAGAAGTAAGAAAAGTTGGTAACAGATCTACTGTGAGACTTGGTGCCTCAAGGGCATTGGGGCATTCAGACTTTCTGGCCAGCACACCCGCTCATTCTCCTCCTCCTCACTTTATTTTTCAACCCACACAGACATCGTGCTGCCGGCACATCTGCCAAGCTGGCAGCGTGACACCTGTGGAGACTGGAGATTGCCAGGACGAGCCAGAGTTATTGAAACAAACGGTGACACTCGGTGTGTGTGTGTGTGTGTGTGTGTGTGTGTCAGTTGTGTATGACGTAACAAAGTGTAAACACTGGAGGCCATTTAGGGAAGCTGCTGGTGGGAGAGAGAAAAAGGCAAATCTAAAGGGAGGATGTTCATTATAGATTTTATGGGTATACTAAAAGAGGATATGAACTTCCATCTATCAGCTGACATCACCTCTGGTCCATCTGGATGAATCACCCACTGATCAGGAGAGAGGGGGATGAGAGGCACTGGTGGAGAGCAACAGCTCTCACAGAAAACAAAATCCTGTCAGTCATGAGTGCATACATCACCACCACTTATATCCATATACACTCATTAGAAAGCCTTCCACACACTGTCTGAACATCCAAATGTAAATAACACTACAAACCTTGTTAGCACTGATAAGATGGACAGACATGCAGTGACTGGATGACAGGTGGATGTATTCATTGTCCAGACCTAAACTCTTTCATTTAATGCCTGACAGCAAGAGCCCACAAGCTCTTTGCACAATCAAAGAAAGCACACATTTGCATTAGTTGACATATCATCAGCATCATGCTCTCAGCCTGTGCGCCGCTCTTTGTTTAATTCCTCCTCTGCATGTGAGCAGATGGCATCACCTATGCCGTCCTCTCCACAGCCCCTTCAGATGTCCCCTCATAAAAGAAAATAAATGAGAGCAATGTGACGCGGAGCTCACACCTACCGTTCCCAGAGATGTGGTTCTCTATCTCGCCGTGTCCAGCTTGCCTTGTGGAGACACTAAGTTGCATGTAGAGTCCCATGTAATGTAAACTCCCCAGCAGCACTCTGAACGCTCCCATTTCTCTTCTGTTTTATCTGCTCTCCTTTCCCCTCTCTGTCTTTTTCACATCGGGTGGCGTGCACGTCGAAAAAGATTTGTTGCTTTTCTTTTCTTTGTGTTTTGTTTAGTTTTGTTTTTTAAAATCCAGGTGACTTGTTCTGGCGAGGAAATGAGTGAGATACCTGCGAAGAATACAGCAAGGCAGAAGTGGCTGCAGCCTCCCTGAACGCCAGCAGACTGACTGAGGCTCTGCTGCCGTTCAGTCGGCTCTACATGCGGCGGAGGGACTTCTCCCAGATGGGAAGTGCCGCGGCTTGCAGTGGGGAATATCAGTTATGAGAGGAGTGATATTAGAAACACATTCAGCAACTTTACGACGTTTCGCGGAGCAGATGCGCTTTTATGAAACGACAGGGGAGATTTAACGTCCTAACACGGTATTATTATTATGTTTTATTACTTTTAACTCAGTAATAAACGAAAAAACACGTATTTCTACCACCAAGGACGTATTGGCGTGCAACTACGGTAGGTTAAAGTGTTAATAGAGTGGGAAAAAAAGCGTGCTTGGGTCATGTAGCTTATCTCAGTGACCGCTGTCTGACCATAGGTGGCATTTCTATTAATATATTTAGTTAATTATTCAAGATATTTATCAAAGAAAAAATAAAAACGTATAAAGTTTGAGAAATGTTTGAAGAAACGACTTCTGACTGGCAGCACCGTTTTGTTTAAAGCTCCTGAAGACTTTTTTTTTAATCTCACTCAGTTTTGTAATGAGCAATGGGATCTTACGTGAACACAACGTTTTCTGCCAAAGTTGGAGCACTTTTCAATTGTCTTTCACTTTAGATACTTTTCTTTCCTCCTCTGTGCTCTTCTCAATGGATAAAGTGGGCTGGGCTTAGTCTAAAAATGTGATGTCACATACTTTGCGCACCAATCACAATTTAATAATGTTTGAATCCAACCATGCATTCATGTGATGTAGGAATAATCGGAAAAAATGAGTTCCCTTCTGGGAAAATTCACATGAACGCCCCCTCAAGTCCGAACAGCGACTCAGAAAGTCAGCGAAAATTGGGTACATGAGTTGCCAAGTTGTGTAATAAATACAGAAACATGGCCGACAAAAGCAAATATTAAGTTGATGGTAATAAACGTTTTATTCATTCACATATTGCATTTAGATAGTTTGCTCACATGTAAGTTGTAATATGGTACATTATTAAGTCGTAACTATGAGTTGCTGTACACATAGGGTAACCTAAATCATTTAGAAAACTTATTTATTAGCATAAGTCAGGTAAAGCAATATTTTAGTGGCGGTGCTGATGCAGTGTCAAGTCTGGGAAAAATCACCTCTGAGAAATAAAATTCAACACATCTATACATCTATGCAATACATCTTGTTTGTGGCATCCATGTTGTTTTGGCATTATGACTTAAAGCTCATGAACACACCAAAGTTGGAAGAACAACTTACCAACTCAAGATATGGGACCATCTGAGGAGCACGTGATTGTTCAAACGTCACTAAGTGTATAACCCCTTATTCACAGTAGCTTATCAGAAGGTTTATTGAGGGGTTTTGAAGAAAAAAAAAATCACCCACCAATCTTAGTTGTGCCCTTTCACTACTTTAGCCTGGGCTTTTCTATCAGATGTCATGATTTTACCACTTACAGCTTTTGTAGCCAATCGACTGCCCCAGCCGGCCTGATGTACAGATTGGTTTCTAAAGAACAAGGAAGACTACTCTTCAAAATGGGGCGATTAGCAAGTAGCCTGAAATCCTAGATTTCAACTTAAAGCAGAGTGTTTGCACCACAGAGGTATTAAGAGAGTCTTCTGACTGTATTCAGCTCCATCCCTGGATCAGACCTGCGGTGGTTGGTGTGAGGGAATGCAGCATCCTGTAACTTTGGTGTGTTGCTGTCCATGGTGCTGAAATGCAGCCTCAGTGCTGGTCACATATTGCACAGACAGTAAAAGATCAGATTTCCAGAGACAAGCCCCACAATTGTATGGGCTGTTGGACTTTATAGAACACTATGTAAGTGCCTATATGATCTCCATTGATCTTATGGACTTTTTACACAACAGGGCAGCAAAGCCAGAGGTTATTTTGTCCACCCTGTTGGGCAACACGATGTACTGTGCATCCAATTTATTTCAACAGCACAACTCAGAGAAAGCTAATTATTTTTGCTAATCTGCATGTAATGCTTAAAAACAATCAAACATGGTCTTGGGAATATGAATAAACACACAAACAACTAATATGTGATTTTCTACACATATAATAAGTATTTGTGTGTGGGTGGGATAAACCAAAAATTACATTTTGATCAACGTCAGAAATCTGATATGGCACATTCGTTTTTAATAATTTAACAAAACAGCAAGCTCTCCCTCCGGGTTTAGATCAGTATGCAGTGTTCTCCTCTTAACATAGCATTACACTCTGTATTAAGAATTAGAAGTTCTGCTCAGCTTGTCCATTCTTCCATTATTGTTTTTCTTCCTGTTTTAAATTATAGTTATTTGTGGAACTTTAAACACAGACATTAGCAAGTGTGTAACACAGCAGCAGGTCCATAATTATTTTCAGTTCTTTGGCCTTTCTGATATGTACAGCACTGGTTTTACACCATGCTTGATCCCGTGAAATCTTTTGATAGAGACACGTTTAACCTCACTGTACCTCTGCTTTGAAGAGGAAACCCGGTCTGTGACTAAACTTTGTGGATGTTTAACAGAGCCAGGGACCTAGCTGTAACCCGTATCTGAATGTCAACACACTGATTGGATTACCTGACTCCAATTATCCTCTTTAATAAAAGCCCAGACGTTCATGTGCTTTTTCAGTCCAAGACACAGCCTTTCATAAAAAGGATGAAAAAGAAAATTGCACAAATTGTTCCCACAGCTTTTACATAATAGAGAACAGTACACAGAGAAACAACACAAAGGGTGTTGAGAATTGGAAAAAATATACTTATTTCCACTGCAGGCTTTGTTGCCATCGTGATGATCACCAACTGGTGGTCAGTTTACCTCTGGGGTGCCATTAGGCCCAATTTACTGGTGAGTATGCCTTAGTAATATTTTGCTGTGCCCCAATAAAACCATCATGGGAAATGAATGTGTTTTTGCAGTGCCTGATAATATGAAGGAAGTGAGAGTGGCCAATTTGGTGGAGACAACTTCTCCAACAGCTGAGCTTAGGCCCTGTGCAGACCACGGCTGCAGCCCGACAGTTGGATTACGCAGCAATTAACAGCTTTGTTGTGAGGCCATGAGTTTGAGCAATGACAGCTTCATGTTTGTGAACTTGTTTAATTGTATGGCTGCGGGGCAGTGTTGATGATGTTGAGGGATAAAGACAAATTCTTAATCAGTTTTAGCTCTAAACACTGACACTATCTGCTACTTGTACGAGCATGTCGATGGCTGAATGTCATCTCAAAGTCTGCTGGTTGGGTTCAGCACAGACACCTGTCACATAATAGTGATGAGCCGACCAGATCTTTTCACAGTATCAGTCCCTTCAAGTTCACACCATTTGAAGCTTTCAAGCACATATATAAAGGAAATGATGAGGTGGAGTGTATGTGGAGGGCGGGAGGGGGGCTTGCCTCTCAAGCCTTACGGTCAAGGTCCAACAATGCTTTGAAGTTTCAATACAGTTTGCAAAGCATGGTGTCAGTTTCTCCGTGACACTCTGTTCTAGTACATGAACATTTGACAGCTAGAGCTGCCCTCCCTGCAAAACTTCTCTTCAATGTATTACCAGTCATCATGTATAAGTTTACTTTCATTCATTCATTCATTTTCTGTAACTGCTTATCCTGTGTCGCGGGAGGGCTGGAGCCTATCCCAGCTGACATTGGGCGAGAGGCGGGGTACACCCTGGACAGGTCACCAGACTATCACAGGGTTTACACACAGAGACAGACAACCATTCATGCTCATATTCACACGTACATCACACATTCATACATTAACCTAACTTGCATTTCTTGTGACTGTAGGAGGAAGCCAGAGTACCCAGAGGAAACCCATGCTGACACGGGGAGAACATGCAGAGTCCACACAGAAGGGATTTCCCACCTGGGGTTCAAACCCCCCACATCAGGTTTGAACCAGGAACCCTCTAGCTGTGAGGTGACGATGCCAACCACTGCTACCGCCTAACCTAACCTAACCTGACCTAACCTAGCCTAACCACTGCATAAGTTCAAATTAATAAAAGATTCATTTAAATGCGTTAATTCATTGATGCTGACATGTATGTAGGTAGTCTATATAAGCTCAATATGATGTTACAGAAATGTCCCAAACTAACAATCTGGGCAAGTAGCAGTCATCGCAGTTAGCCTCATGCTGCATTCATGTGGTGTCGAAATAATCAGTAACATGAGATCCCGTTCATATTTCTCACTTGATCCAATTCCTTTGGTTTTTGTTATCAACTGTTGAAGAAGGACTCGTATGACTTGTGGTCGATTTGCAGCCTTGCAGGATATTTTATTGAAGACACAGCTTACAACTTCACATACCGCAACAAGGAGACAGCACTGTAGAGCAGTTCACTGAACATTCTTATACTCCTCCTCAGATGAACATCTGAGTTATTCAGTCTTAGTTAACATGTTTTGCTTCTAATTTGACCTTCAGGGTCGAGTATTTCTGGGCCTTTCATCACAACATAACATGTTGTTTAAATGCTCTTAGCAATAAAATGCAACACATCTTCTTTGTATCTTTCATGTTGTTTCTACTTTACAACCTAAAGCTCATGAACACACCGTAGTCGGAAGCACGACCTTTGGAGAAGCATGTGAATGCCCCATTGACCTTGGCTGGAGGTGGTCTTGACTTGAGTCTGATTTAATCGCTTCTTGTTCACTCACCTTCACAGGAAGCGTGAGCAGTACCCTATGATCACGAGTAAGTGAGTGGGAAATTTAGGGATTTATAAGCACTCGGACGTTCAACAGGCTGACCCCGGTGCATACTGGACACTGGTTCATTTTAGCCCATCACTATCACATACAGTGATCTCACCTGAGTGAACACAAGTGGGTGCCATCTTTCTCCCCTATCATTATGCTTTTTGCTGGTCTGATGGAGGATGCCTCACTGACTTGACCTTCATGAGAGTTTTCCTACTTTTTTCGTCTTTGCCATTCGTTCTTGTTGTTCACATGCCTTTCACTGAGGGTCAAACAGCCTGGTTGG